TCTTGAACAGATCTTTTTAAACTAAATTAGGAAAAGACTTAGAAAAGAACCCCATTTTTGTTCCCTTGGTTAGAACACTTCTTATACTGGTCCTTGGCCTTTGCACACTCAAGAGCGCCTCTCTTCCAACCCAGAATTCCAATCCAAAGGCCTCTAAAGGCTCCAGGTCGGCCCCTCATGCAGACTAAGTAACATTCAAATGGCATCAAGTTAGCTCATGCTGCCGGTTCCTCTTACCCCAGCCAAAGTCAAAATGTTTTCCAATGATTTGGTCATGATGAGACGCTTCTTGGCACGAGTTACTGCAACATACAGCAAATTCCATTCATCCTCAGAAAATGACTCTAAAGAAAGGGGAAAAAAAATTAACTAAAAAGCCTGTGTTACAAAACCTTATGTCTCATCTAAATGTTTACTATCCCCCACCCATTCCCCCCAGAAAACCACTCAAGATTTGTTGGCTGTAAATACAAAATTTTCCTACAAATGCCAGTTCCAAAAACAAACCAAACCCCAGCAGACTAGTGGCACAAAATACTGGGTTTTATTTAGTCCTGCTACGTAAATCCTGAGAATGTGTTAATTGGTTATTCGACACCCACAATGTGCCAGATGTCTGTTTATGGTCATTATGCCTGCTCTCACAACAAGCCCATGAGACAGGCAGGGAAACCAAGGCTTAGAGAGGTTAGGTCAATCCTACAAACAAGGCCACGGCTAATCAAGAGCCTGGGAGCTGGACCCAGTCTGTTCGTCTCTCTTTCCTTACACTGTCTCTGGATTGCCAGAGTCCCGTCTGAAAACGCCAGACACTGTCACAGGACAAGGAAGACACACAGGTGTGCTGTGTGCTGTATGTCTGTGCTGCCCACCCCCACCTCTCATTTCTCATCTCCAATTTACCACACAATGGCAGGAACTCAACAAAGAGCAGCAGACCCAAGGACATGCAAAAAGCCGCTGAATTGCACACTTTGGATGGGTGGGTTGTGTAGCATGTAAATTACATGTCACCCCAAAAATTAAGTTTGTAAACATGTAAACCCAAAGGGGGAAAAGGTGGTACTAGAGTAAACGTCTCCGCTTCCCTCCCTCTCTCCACTCTAATCCATCTCCTATGTTTGCCAGCGTCAGGAACGCTGTGGTTTCCATTTTCAGCAGGCCAACGTGTGCTAGGCCCCAAATTTCCAATCCACAGTTAACAGACAGCTTTGTTTGTAGGGAAATTTCAAACCGTTTTATTCTAAGATTTAAAACCAAAGCAATAGCACTGATGCTGAGTTCAATAACCAGCCTTGAGTGCAAATTTATTACAAAGCAGACAAGGCCAGGCATGGTAGCTCATGCCTGTAACCCCAACACTTTGGGAGGCCAAGGCAGGTGGATGACCTGAGGTCAGGAGTTTGAGACCAGCCTGGCCAACATGGTGAAACCCCATCTCTACTAAAAATACAAAAATTAGCTCAGCGTGGTGGCACACACCTGTAGTCCCAGCTACTCAGGAGGCTGAGGTGACAGAATTGCTTGAACCTGGGAGGTAGAGGTTGTAGTGCGCTGAGATCACATCACTGCACCCCAGCCTGGGTGACAGAGTGAGACCCTGTCTCTTGGAAAAACAATAATCTAAAAACTGGGATTGGAATTATTGTATTTTCTTTCTTTTCAAAAATACGCATATCCTAGCTGTGCCTCTTCAACAGATGAGCAATCAGCATCACTAACAGGGAAAAACTAACCTGCTCCTGTGAGCCTCCTTATGTGATAAGGCAAGGCACAAAGCCCTCTCCCGCCTCCCATGCGGCACACCTGCCAAAGACTCAGGCTTGAATCTAATCAAGCCTCTATAGCTAACCTCCAGTTACCAGAAAGCCAGCACAGGCAATGGCGGAACCAGTTACATAACCAGGCCAGGAAGCAACCCAAGAATGGGGATGCTCCGTAGGATGAATGACCCAGTTTCTGCAATGAGACAGCAGCATGGGAAAAGCGGGGAGGGAGTCCCACACGGCCCTCTATTAAGTCGCTTAAGAGACAACCAAATGTTGGTTTGGACTCTGACTTGAACAAATCAACTGTAAAAAAGCATTTCTGAGACAATCATAAAAGTATTAATTATAGATTGGGTAGTAGAGGCCACATATTATATTTATAAAATATGAAAATGGCATGGTATAGAAAATAAAATACATATTTTTTGGAGATGTGGATATACAGGGATGATTTGTATATGCGTGTTCAATGTGTTGCTTTCTTTACTTTTTATGTCTCAAAATTTTTTTAAGCAAAAACGAAAAAGCCTGTGTAGCCCATGCTGTGAAATGGTATTGCTGCTCTATAACACCCCACACAGTTCTACCAGTTGACAATGCGGTTTTGTTACAGGCCTCACCACTTGTGTAACACTACTTCTATGAGAAAACCATACCAGAGGGTCAAAAAAAGTTCTTATAAATCAGTTTATTCAAAAATGTATGTATAAGTAGAGACTATTTGTACATAAACATTTATTCTGCTTAACTCCTGGAGGTACTGGTTTAGAGATTTTTAAAAGACATTTTACTTTAAACCAGAGGTCAGCAAACTACACCTGGGCCACATGCAGAAAATGCCTGTTTTTCTGAATAATTGTTATTGGAAAACAGCCACATGTGTTCGCTAATGTACTGGGGCTCTTGCGCTAGAGCAGCGGGGCTGGGTAGCCACCACTGAGATCATGCAACCTGCAGAGCCTGAAATCTTTACTACCTGGCCCTTCACAGAAAAAAATCTACAGATGATCCATATGCCACTAAATATGCAACCAAAGAAAAACGGCTTCAGTTCTAAGTTCTGATGCTTAAGCTGTGAAGCCCAGTTGAAAAGCTGCTTTGGGAAAAATGCAACAGATTTCAAATTCTAGAAACATTCTTATGGCCAAGTCAACCTACCTAAGAGAGAACTGGAAGAAAAATGACAAAAGAGATCTGAAAACGTGTGATAAACATGCAAGCTAATCAGTTCTATGCAAGAAGCTTTTGCCCCATGATGAGTCATATAGAATATTTATTTGCAAAGCTTCTCCCTTTTAAGCTTCAATATTATCTTCCTTAAAAATGTGAAGAGAAATCCTATTTGTTCAGTTTCTTATCCATCTCCTCACCTGGATGGGCTCCATAAGGGCAGGAATTTCCCCTGCCCACTGTTATGCCTCAGTGCCCAGAAAGGTACATGGCATGTGTTTGGCCTTAAATAAATACTCCTTATGAGTATCTGGGTTCTACTACCTCCGAGAGCTGAAGATCATTTACTAAAAAGTGGTGACTGCCCACCCTGCCCACACCCCGTGGTTCAACCCAGAGCACATGGGGCAGTTTGGCATACCTCACCCTGTAAGAGGAGGGCAATATGGCACTGCGAATAAACCCGCCTGCCATACACAATCTTTGTTTTGAAGATAGCTAAGCAAGAAAGAGTATGTACAGGTATTGATCGACTTACGACCTATGCAACTTACGACCATTTGACTTTATGACCACAGTCGCTAGCCACGACTGCTCTGCATCTAGCAGTGCAAATGTTGCCCAGCTGGGCATACGACAGTGCAGACCAGCTTCCGGCAGCACTACCATCTCCGCGTGCACCATTTCAACTGTACATATAGCCTACTCAACTTACAACCAAATCGTGTTACGACCGGTCTGCCGGTCCCAATCGTGGTAGTAAGTCGAGCACTAGCTGTATATTAACTTTCACACTTCAGTTTCAGGTTTCAGGCTTAAATATCTTGGGCTCAGAGAAAGATGGACTAAGTGGGAACTATTAGCTCAAGTTTCTGTTCCAGTTTCTGACAGGGTTGAAAAAGACTAAATGGTTTATACTACAGCTGTTTAGGCAGAAAAAGAGATAAAAATAAGTACAGTGTGAAAACGGGGTTTGTGAGAAGGGTAAAGAGTGAGAGGGACCAGCTTACTTTTCCACATCTCCGTGACAAAGGCCAGGCACCTTGTTCTGCTGGAAAGTCTATTGGTAGCAGCAGCAGATGCCATTTCAAAAGGGACTAAAGAGTGAGAGGGAGGCAGTCAGGGTGCAGAAAACCTTCCGGTCATTCTTTTCCTAAGAGTACTGAGTATAGGGGCCAGGCGAGGTGGCTCACATCAATACCTCCAGCACTTTGGGAGGCCAAGGCAGGAGGATCGCTTTAGCCCAGGAGTTCGAGACCAGCTGGGAAATATAGCAAGACCCCGTCTCTAGAAAAAATTTAAAAACTAGTGAGGTGCAGTGGCATGCACCTATAGTCCCAGTTATGCAGGAAGCTGAGGTAGGATAATCACTTTAGCCCAGGAGTTCCAGGTTGCAGTGAGCTACGATTGTGCCACTCAACTCCAACCTGGGTAACAGGGCGAGACCCTGACTCAGACAAAAAAAAAAAAAAAAGCACTAATTGAGTAAGGAAGAAATTAAGAAATACATGAACAATGCTGGTTTTATTTTTGGAGAAAGAGTCTCACTCTGTCTCCCAGGCAGGAATGCAGTGACACCATCTCAGCTATCTGCAACCTCTGCCTCCCAGGTTCATGTGATTCTCTTGCCTCAGCCTCCCAAGTTGCTGGAATTACAGATGTGTGCCACCACACCTGGCTACTTTTTGTATTTTTAGTTAGAGATGCGGTTTCACCATGTTGGTCAGGCTGGTCTCAAACCCCTGACCTCAAGTGATCTGTCTGCCTCAGCCTCCCAAAGTGCTGGGATTACAGGTATGAGCCACCACACCCGGTCTGCTGCTATCTTGAACAGATCTTTTTAAACTAAATTAGGAAAAGACTTAGAAAAGAACCCCATTTTTGTTCCCTTGGTTAGAACACTTCTTATACTGGTCCTTGGCCTTTGCACACTCAAGAGCGCCTCTCTTCCAACCCAGAATTCCAATCCAAAGGCCTCTAAAGGCTCCAGGTCGGCCCCTCATGCAGACTAAGTAACATTCAAATGGCATCAAGTTAGCTCATGCTGCCGGTTCCTCTTACCCCAGCCAAAGTCAAAATGTTTTCCAATGATTTGGTCATGATGAGACGCTTCTTGGCACGAGTTACTGCAACATACAGCAAATTCCATTCATCCTCAGAAAATGACTCTAAAGAAAGGGGAAAAAAAATTAACTAAAAAGCCTGTGTTACAAAACCTTATGTCTCATCTAAATGTTTACTATCCCCCACCCATTCCCCCCAGAAAACCACTCAAGATTTGTTGGCTGTAAATACAAAATTTTCCTACAAATGCCAGTTCCAAAAACAAACCAAACCCCAGCAGACTAGTGGCACAAAATACTGGGTTTTATTTAGTCCTGCTACGTAAATCCTGAGAATGTGTTAATTGGTTATTCGACACCCACAATGTGCCAGATGTCTGTTTATGGTCATTATGCCTGCTCTCACAACAAGCCCATGAGACAGGCAGGGAAACCAAGGCTTAGAGAGGTTAGGTCAATCCTACAAACAAGGCCACGGCTAATCAAGAGCCTGGGAGCTGGACCCAGTCTGTTCGTCTCTCTTTCCTTACACTGTCTCTGGATTGCCAGAGTCCCGTCTGAAAACGCCAGACACTGTCACAGGACAAGGAAGACACACAGGTGTGCTGTGTGCTGTATGTCTGTGCTGCCCACCCCCACCTCTCATTTCTCATCTCCAATTTACCACACAATGGCAGGAACTCAACAAAGAGCAGCAGACCCAAGGACATGCAAAAAGCCGCTGAATTGCACACTTTGGATGGGTGGGTTGTGTAGCATGTAAATTACATGTCACCCCAAAAATTAAGTTTGTAAACATGTAAACCCAAAGGGGGAAAAGGTGGTACTAGAGTAAACGTCTCCGCTTCCCTCCCTCTCTCCACTCTAATCCATCTCCTATGTTTGCCAGCGTCAGGAACGCTGTGGTTTCCATTTTCAGCAGGCCAACGTGTGCTAGGCCCCAAATTTCCAATCCACAGTTAACAGACAGCTTTGTTTGTAGGGAAATTTCAAACCGTTTTATTCTAAGATTTAAAACCAAAGCAATAGCACTGATGCTGAGTTCAATAACCAGCCTTGAGTGCAAATTTATTACAAAGCAGACAAGGCCAGGCATGGTAGCTCATGCCTGTAACCCCAACACTTTGGGAGGCCAAGGCAGGTGGATGACCTGAGGTCAGGAGTTTGAGACCAGCCTGGCCAACATGGTGAAACCCCATCTCTACTAAAAATACAAAAATTAGCTCAGCGTGGTGGCACACACCTGTAGTCCCAGCTACTCAGGAGGCTGAGGTGACAGAATTGCTTGAACCTGGGAGGTAGAGGTTGTAGTGCGCTGAGATCACATCACTGCACCCCAGCCTGGGTGACAGAGTGAGACTTCATCTCAAAAATAATAACAACAACAAAGCAGACAAATGGCTGTGGTGGCTCACACCTACAATCCCAACACTTTGGAAGGCTGAGATAGGAGGATGGCTTGAGCCCAGGAGTTTGAGACCAGCCTGAGCAACATAGTGAGACTCTCATTTGTACAAAAAAAAAAAAAAAAGATAAAGAATGCTTACTATTTCTCCTTTTGTGATTTTCTTATCTCTTTAATAAAAAGAAGAGGAATGCCTGGGTGCAGTAGCTCATAGCTGTAATCCCAGCACTTTGGGAGGCCGAGGTGGGTGGATCACGAAGTCAGGAAATTGAGACCATCCTGGCCAACGTGGTGAAACCCCGTCACTCCTAAAAATACACAAATTAGCCAGGCGTGGTGACACATGCCTGTAGTCCCAGTTACCTGAGGCGGCCAAAGCAGGAAGAATCACTTGAACCCAGGAGGCAGAGTCTGCAGTGAGCCGAGATCGCACCACTGCACTCCAGCCTGAGAGACAGAGTAAGAATCCATCTCAAAAAAAAAAAAGAAAGAAAGAAAGAAAAGGAATTAATTAAAGGAAAAAAAATGCCATGGTAAGCAGGTCAACTATGTTTTACAGCTTTCATGAGGCTGGAGACTCAAAATCTGATGGTGAAAACCAGAGCTCAGAGCAGTGCAGGGCTCAGAGGGCTGCGGTTTACAGGGCCATCGTAACCATCACCATCCCACACGCAGCCCCCAGAGGGGTACACCTTGGGGAAGTTTTGTTTTTTTAAAAAATAACACAGTACAAGAATCCAAAGTTTAGGACTAGGAGGTGTTTTGTGGGTTTTTTTTTTTTCCAGAAGTGCCCTACCCGCAGGCGACACCATCCAACAAACACCTGGCAGTGAAAAGGAAGCATTCTAGTCACTGCTCACTTCGACAGCACTCAGCACCTCCCGGCCCGTGTCCTTACCAACTCTGAAGTGGGGAAGCTGGGCCAGGTTATGCCGGGCACAAGGCACTTTCACAAAATCATCCAAAACATGCACAGTGTCAAACTCCAGGCCTTTGGCTTTGTGCACAGTGCCCAGAATGTACTCTAGGATAAAAATACAGCACGTGTTAGGTGGGGCTTCAAAGAGAAAGAAGCGAGATGACAAAAACGTATATGCTTTATATGCTTCCCACTTGACTCTGAACTCTAATGTTTCCTGCCTATGTGCAGTTTTGCGGGAAAAGAGGGAAAGAGGAAACAACGGTCGGGAATAGAAAGAAAAAAAAGATAAGGGGAAAAGTTAAAGATTAGTTGCAGGAGAGTTAGTACCTCTTAGAACCACATCCCAAAAGCCAGAGCAGCTCTACTCACCCTCTGTATCTAACACATAAGGGATAGAACCCTCAAGAGGGCTGCATGGCTTGCCCGATATTACACGTGGCAGAGCCAGGACTAGCCCCTAAAGAAGAACCAGGGCCCTGCTCCCTTTCCTTTAACCTATAAAGCCATTCTTGCTCATGGATATTTCATGCAGGGTAAAAACAGCAGAAGAGGCCAGGTGCAGTGGCTCACACCTGTAATCCCAGCACTCTGGGAGGCCAACGTGGGCAGACTACCTGAGGTCGGGAGTTCAAGACCAGGCTGGCCAACATGGCGAGACTCAGTCTCTACCAAAAATACAAAAACTAGCTGGGCATGGTGGCGTACGCCTGTAGTCCCAGCTACTTGGGAGGCTGAGGGAGGATAACTGCTTGAATCCAGGAGACAGAGATTGCAGTGAGCCAAAATCATGCCACTGCACTCCGGCCTGGGCAATAGAGCAAGACTCTGTCTAAAAAAAACAAAAAAAGAAACAGTAGAAGACCACCTGTTCCTCCTCTTGGGGAAAGGTAAAAACCAACTGCTTCCCTTACCTGCAAAGTCCAAATCTTCTATATGACATTTTTCTATCCTTTGCACCAGCTCTGGAATCCTGATGTTATACTTTTCAACTACTGCGATCTTGGCTTCAAGCTCCTTGTCCTCAGCAGCGGTCACATACCTCTTGAAGCCACTAAAACCTTCTTTGTGCACCCATCTTCTGATAAATCTGTCTTTAATGACGAGGTTTTCTAAGGAGAATACACGCACAAGTTAATGTGACACAAGCTACACTCACAGATGGTGGCAGGTACTGCAAGTTCCTAACCTGCCACATGAGAGCGGACGGTCTGAAGTGGGGAGACACAGGTTCCAGGCCTGACTGCATCACTAACTCGCTGTGTGTCCCTGGGCAAGTCGGTGCAGTGTGGTAGCCTCTCCGTCTCCGACTGAGGAGCAAAACCCTAGGCTCAAGATCCTCACCTACTTCACAGGGATTTGCAATAGCGCAGCCAACAGGAAAAGAAAAGCGCTATAGAATGCTCAGCGTTACCACTTGGGGCCCATGTGGAAGTGAACGTATAAAGTTGCCCAGGCAGACAGAAAGATGCAGGGGAAGACAGTCTACAGGACCAGTGTCAGAAAAGAGACTGAGGCTCCTGCGAAAAGCATCTGGAAAAATCTGTCAGTACCTATGAAAACAGGAGGCCTGAGGTACCTCACTCATCATGGGAAAAGAGCAACACTAGCTCGCCCTTCTCTGGAGGGAAACGAGGCCCTGACTCAGACCAGGCCTGCTTCTTTCTCATCCCTGTCACTTGGGTGCTTCCTTCCAACACACCAAGGCCAGGCGGGTACTCACGTTTCCTCCGTTCTTCCTCTGGCTGAAGAAGGATCCAAATATCAATGATTCTGTCCAATCCAAATGATTTAATCCCCTGAAAAAGTTTTTTGGTGGGATTTTTGGTTTTTTGTTGTTTTTTGTTTTGTTTTGTTTGTTGTTGCTTTAACAAAACAAAATAAAGCAAATGCAGGGATGGGATTTTGAAATGAGATGATTTCTTGGAAATGAATCTTGAGTTCCACCCAAAGCACGGGCGGCAAGCAGGAAACTTCACGAAGCAGTAAGCACAAGACTGCCATGGGGCCTTGGCACTCACAGCAATCACATTCTCAGCTACGGCTGCTACCTCAAACTCTTCCTATGCTTTCAAAACGGGCAAGACCTATAGCTGCACACTGCTTTCTCATCAATAAAAGGCCAATTTAAGTGCCTTCCAGGAACGTGAGATGATTGCAAGGAATCCAAATGGCACCTGAATACAAAGTGCTGGGCATGCATACTTACCACTGTTTCTTGTGAGAAAAGAACTTCAGGCTACTGCAGTGGCTCACACCTGTAATCCCAGCACTTTGGGAGGCTGAGGCAGGTAGATCACTTGAGGCCACGAGTTCGAGACCAGCCTAGCCAACATGGTGAAACCCTTTCTCTACCAAAAATACAAAAATTAGCCAGGTATGGTGGCAGATGCCTATAGTCCCAGCTAGTTGGAAGGCTGAGGCATGAGAATCTCTTGAACCGGGAGGCAGAGGTTGCAGTGAGCCAAGATTGCGCCATTGCACTCCAGCCTGGGTGACAGAGTGAGACTCTGTCTCAAAAAAAAAAAAAAACTACAGAATGTCTCTAGGTCCAGATTATTCTACATTTTAACAGGTCAGCTCCTGGAGGAGACAGCCTGACTGCCCTGTTTAGCCCAGATCTACCAAGAGCATCTGCTGAGCACTGGCTGGGCTCCAGCACTCACACAGCACCAGGCCCTGCACAGAAGACAGACACAACCAGGACCCACACTCCAAGGGCTTGTCATCTTTTAGGGAGGGACACGTAAAACACTCACATAAAACAGCGGGCAAAATAACACAGTTGACATTATAACCCACAACGAGATGTGTGATCACATGTAATGACATATGGTACAGGTAACAAGTGGATTTTAAGAGAGGTGAAGAGAACCACTTACTTTATATCATGCCACTGTGGATTATATTCCAAAAACACTATTCTCTTACAACAGTGACTATGGTTAAATTATGTTACATCTACTAGACCAAATATTATATGGTCATTACAGTAGCAATGAAAGAAAGTATGCCTATGTGTTGAGTAAAAAAAAGCATCCATTTTTATGGATGCTATAATTGCAATTACGCAAAAATACACATCTATAAGGACAAAGACAAAAACAGCAAAAATAAGAATTATTATACGAAACACTGGGATTATGTGTTCTCTTTTAGGTTCCAAAATTTCTATACCATCGTCATATAGTCTTTATAAATAACAAACTTAAAACACCCTTTGATTATGATTCACTACTATATTTGAGTGCCTAATGCATAGTAGGCTCTTGAAAATCTTTTTCCATAAATGAATGAGTATTTTTTGGTCATATAACTTTGCTTCAGGGTTGAAAATGCTGTAAACATGCCACTAAATCCTCCTAACTCCCTGTGAAACAGGTAAGGCAAGGCATTATTTTATCTCAGAGATGGAGAGAATGAGGCACACAGAAGTTGTGACTTGCCCCAAGCCACACACGGTTAGTGACCAGTCAGAACTAGAGTTGAGATGTGTACTCCACATGTTGTCAGTTCAGCTGCTCTCACACTAATGACAACACACAACCAGAAAAGCTTCCAGTAGCCCACGGCCTCACTGGCATTGTCAAGGGAAGAAGGGCATTCATTGTTTGAAGAGTAGAAACCAAGGTCCCCAGCCCTTCTAGAGTCTGCCTTTCCAGGAATGTTTCACTGGCATAATCAGAATCGCCAGGGTTAGAGACCAGTCACAGTGTAGCCCAGTGAAGAGTCAAAATCCCAAATGCTCTCTTGCATGATAATCCCAAAGAAAGTGAACGTTTTCATTGGGTATGTTCATCTGCAGCCTTTCTGTGCATGAAGTGGTCAACAGAAATGTACTCTTACCCCAATCAAATGTATCCTCGAAGGGACTTCCCCTTCCGTCACCCGTACGGCCTCATCAAACACATTGGCGTTGGTCCGGGACAACAAGGCCACTTGCCCCTTTACATCACCTCTAATGCCACCTTTAGGGAGAGAGCACAAACTCTATGGAAAATCGAAATAAAGAGGGAAACTTTTGTAACACAAGAGAAGAGTAACTAAAGGCCTTACTCTGATGGTTTCCTCCAACCAAAGTCTTTTTCCTGACTCTCTTGCAAACATCCAAGATAGTAGCTCCCACATAAGCTATTTCCACACCAAACCGAAAACTCTGGAAAACAACAAGACAGAGGGAGTCAGTAGTCTGCCCTGCAGTGTGTCTGTGCATTTCCACTGCTGCCACCACAGCCTGGCCGGGCCAGACCAATGAGTTATTCCCAACACCCCGGCCTGGAAGCAGAACTTCACAGGCTCACTTTCAAAGCGCTTCACAACCCGACAGTCTTTATGTTCCATTATTCTCAATACCAGTAGTAAACTTTTCTTTCAAGCAAATCTCCCCTTTTCTCCAAATCAAATCTAGTGAAGTCTAAATCATACAAAAGATTAAGACAGGGTAAGGAGGGCTTCTCCCCCCGCCTTTGAGATCCCACTCAACAGTAACTTTAAAACCACTGCCCTAGGTTGGGCTTGGTGGCTCAGGCCTGTAATCCCGGCCCTTTGGGAGGCCAAAACAGGTGGATCACGAGGTCAGGATTTCAAGACCAGCCTGACCAAGACGGCGAAACCCCATCTCTACTAAAAATTACAAAAAAATTAGCTGGGCACAGTGGCACGTGCCTGTAATCCTAGCTACTCAGGAAGCTGAGGCAGGAGAACTGCTTGAACCCGGGTGGTGGAGGTTGCAGTGAGCCGAGATCGCACCACTGCACTCCAGCCTGGGTGACAGAGTGAGACTCTGTCTCAAAAAAAAAAAAAAAAAAAAAAAAAAAAAAAAAAAAAAAAAAAAAAAAAAAAAAAAAAAAAAAAAACCACTGCCCTGCACCAACCAGCCATGGCAGTAGCACAACCACCCATGCATTTCCTATGCTGTCCCGCCTCAGTTCACGCTTTTTCTGACTGCCTATAAGTCTTTTTCATCCATCAAAATCACTTCCTAACCTTCAAAACTCAGCCCAAGACCTTACTTTCTTCACCCCCTCAGGCTGGTAAGATAGCATTCTTCCCCACACTCGGAGTGTATATGGCCTGGTTCCATGCACACACAAGTTCAGGCGCTTTGGTGAATACCAGTAACAGTCAAATGAAAACTAGACTTTCAACAAACACTACTTTGTTGCTATAAAACTACCGAGAGTGAACCATCAGCGAAATTATAAAATAAATATCCATGAGTTCACATTAAGGTAGATAAACGATGGAATATTTAAATAGATGGGAAAGAAGAAACAAATCTCCTTTGCAGAAGAATTCCAAATAATTTATGAAGATTCCGCACCATTTACTCCTTGAGGATGGAAGGCATATAGGGACTTCCTTCCAAAGCATCCAGTACGGAAAGGATGAAAAAAAGAGGAATTCTACAGTGGAGAAACCTGACAAACACTACATCAGCCATCAAGCTGATCAAGGTCAACATCGTCATGAGCCATGGTGACAGCATGGATGAAAATGGCTCTTTACCTCTGTGGTCTTCCTCCCAGAACCCAGAACTCTAGCCTAACCATGAGAAAAAACATTAGACAAAATCCAGCACAGGGGCAACCTACCCATGTCTGACTGGTACTACTCAAAACTGTCAAGGTCATCATAAATGGGGAAAGTCTGAGAAACTGTCACAGCCAAGAGAGCCAAATGACACATGGCTACATGTAATGTGGGATCCTGGATGGGATCCTGAAGTAGCAAAAGACATTATTTCAGAACTAAGGAAATGCAAATGAACCATGGACTTCAGTCTATAATAGTATATCAATGTTGGTTCATTATCGTGACAAGTGTTCTGCATTAATATAAGATGATGTTAGCAACGGGAGACTGAGTGTAGGATATATGGGAACTCTCTTCTCGATTCTTCTGTAAATCTGAAACTGTTCTAAAAAATATTGTCTGTTAAAAGAAGAAAACAGCTCAGCACTGATGCCACCCTAATCACCACAGCAGGCAGGAACTCAACGGAAGAGTCAGAGGCACCTACAGGACTTTCAGTCACATCGTGAAACACAGCAGTTTATACTTTCATCCAAGTCACACATCTCTTCTAATTAGAAATGAATTTCTTAAAAGCAGTGGTTCTCAAACTTGTGGTCTCAGGGTGCGTCACACTTAAAAATCACACTTAAAAAGCCTCCAAAGAGCTTTTATTTACGTGAGCTCTATCCATCTATCTCTTTACCATATAAGAAACTTTAATTCAGTTTTTAAAAACTATTAAAAATGTTTTGTGTTTTTTTTTTAAGACAGAATCTCACTTTGTTGCCCAGGCTGGAGTGCAGTGGCACGATCTCGGCTCACCACAATCACCACCTCCCAGGTTCAAGAGATTTTCCTGCCTCAGCCTCCTGAGTAGCTGGGTGTGAGCCACCACGCCTGGCTAATTTTTGTATTTTTAGTAAAAGCGGGGTTCTGCCATGTTGGCCAGGCTGGTCTTGAACTCCTGACTTCAAGTGATCTCCTCACCTCAGCCTCCCAAAGTGCTGGGATTACAGGCAGGAGCCACCATGCCCAACTAAAAACCTCTTATATGACAACATATGGAACATATTTTTTGAAACATATTTCCCAGAACAAAAAGAAATTCAGCAAGAAGAATGGCACCGTGCTACATTTTTGCAAATCTCTTCAATGCCTGGCATCACAGAAGACAGCCGGCTTCCTGTGTTCACATCTGCGTGGTCTGCTGTGATATGGTATCCTGGCTGACACCCAGGAAGAAAATTCAGCCTCACACAGACATGTGATTGGAAAGGAAGGAGGGCATAATAACCTTTTTGCACAATCAAGGACGCTGTGAGTTATCGCGTTCATTATGGGAGTTTGCCAAAATTTTAATTTCACTTGAAAACAAAGATGTTATCTTTAACAACAAACACTGTCAGTTATTTTCCCTGAAGTCGCAGCCTGTTTCACTTGTCTTTGAAAAAGTGCCAAATACGCAAGTCTGAACAACCAGCACTGGTCTAACAACTGTTCTCAGTGTGTTAGTACGTTGTGTACAAGGCAGCAGGAGCCATCAGTTCACAGTTCAGCCGCAACAGCTCTTCCTCAGACGACAGCCATGCAAACACCTCTTATGAAAACAGTCTGAGCCGGGCGCGGTGGCTCAAGCCTGTAATCCCAGCACTTTGGGAGGCCGAGGCGGGTGGATCACGAGGTCAGGAGATCGAGACCATCCTGGTCAACATGGTGAAACCCCGTCTCTACTAAAAATACAAAAAAAACATTAGCTGGGCATGGTGGCGCGTGCCTGTAATCCCAGCTACTGAGGAGGTTGAGGCAGGAGAATTGCCTGAACCCAGGAGGTGGAGGTTGCGGTGAGCCGAGATCGCGCCATTGCACTCCAGCCTGGGTAACAAGAGTGAAACTCCGTCTCAAAAAAAAAAAAAAGAAAACAGTCTGACTTGGTGGACCCCTGAGAACCACACTTTGAGAACCACTGCTTAGAAGCAAGGATTTGCTAGATCTGGTGAGCCTGGCATACCACCTTGCACATGGCCTAGCACATAAGACACTGGGAAGAAGATGCAATGCCTGCCCACTTGGGCCCAGGGCCTCCAAGGCAGAGAGCGCGCTTACCTGCGTGAGATAGAAGACGTGGGTGTGGGGCACTGTGAACAGGGCGTTGACTGCACCCCGGAAGGTATAGATCTGCTGGTGCGGGTCCCCTACAAAGATTTTCCCACATGGCTGAGACAGAACTATGTTCATAATAGCTGTAACCAACGAGAGGAAAAGTGAGAAACTTTTGAGGTCTCCACCCCAGGCCACAAAAAGAAAAGGACAAAAACACTTCCACGAAGCTACGTCAGGGCACACTGGACTTCGGAGTCGCCTTTTCCTGCAGGACAGGCACACTCCATCAAATCAGCCATTTTATAATGGACAAAGAAAGTTTCTGGTCCTAGGAATGCAGCTGTTTCGCCCTGGATGAACGGTTGGAATGTAAGGAAACAACACAGGCAAATCTAAAATGAGGCAAATTGTCTTCTCTAATATAGCACTCGAAATTGACCTACAAAGTCAGACTCATAACACTGTTCTCTCTTAGCCACTTGAGAAACATACAACACAAGCTTCCCCCTCTCAGTGGACAATCTCTTCCCACTGAGCATGAGTCTAGGTTCCTATCATCTGCTGATCTACACTTGGCCAACATGTTAAGAACAACCTAAGCAAAACCTATGGTGACAGAGAAATCGGCTTGGGTGAGGGGAAGGGGCAGCTTGAAATCCTAAGGCGAATTAAGAAGATCCTCTTCTTTATCACAAATAAGAATAATCAACTTAGTTCACGTAGGTGTTGTCTTACATAATCACGGCACTGTTTCTACGTATTTGAGACTACTGATGTCCTGAACAGTGTATCACCTGGTGTGCAGTCCTGGGCCTCATCCACAAAGATGGCGTCAAAAGAGGCCAGCAAAGGCTTGCTCAGCTGCCAGAGTTTCAAGTAGCCTAAAAATAGGAGAGAGGCAGGAATTGTAATGCAAGAAAAGTGGTTCCACTTGCCAGTCCCCGCTAGCCGGCAGCCACCTACCGTCATGAGTCATCTGGTACGCCTCTTCTGTGCACTCCCCCAGCTTTCGCATGTTATCCCAGAGGCGGCTTGCTTCAAGGACACCATTCTAGGAAGTAAGGCATATGGTAACCCAGAGTTTAAGACCCTGGCAAAGGCAGCACCCTGCAGTCACACTTTCAATTCCTACATTGCTCTATAGCAATGTAGCCAGGGCGTCATCACAGAAAGGGGTCTGCAGGTACCTCCCTAACCTCCTGGGGCTCCTTGACAGCCTCTTCATGCCAACAGGGTCTCCAGCACTGAGACAGGAAGCAGCTGGGCCATGATGCCAGGCCCACGATAAGGCAGAGGTCACAACAGTTAGGTGAACCAGAAAAGGCCAAATTGTTTTTCTAGATTTATGACTGATTCTTAATTCATAAAAACAATGGCAAATGATTGAAAAGACTTGGTAAAAATAAGAAACAGACTTTCCCACTAGCAAAATCTATTCCATAGAACTAATAACCAAGAAAATCAGAAGAGAGATTCTCAGTCTTCAGATGAGATCAGATTTGAGGTCCAGGAGCCCGAGTGACAAGCTCTTACAAACTGAGGTGGGTTGTTCCACGTCTGTCTTCTCTGTTAAGTGGGAGGACTACTCTGAGGCTTAAGTGTGATGGTCACAGGTGTCCTCCACAGGAGAAAATACCCAACAATTCACAGCCATCACCATGGGCCTATGGCCTCACCCTCCCACCTTCAACCTCCTACGAACAGTTGTGAAGAAATCAAAGAAGAAATAATACTGGATCGCACTCCCTGTTTCCCCCGGCCACAGACCCCTGACACTTTAGACTCTTAGACACTCACCAGTTTTTCACTCTGCTCAACCATGACTCTCTGTCCTTGGCTGTTCTTACACCAGATAGGCACGTGATCAATGGTCAGCTCTTCATCAGCCGAGGCAAAGAAGTTTTCTAGAGTCTTACACACGAGCTTGGCTCTTATGAATCCACCTTTCCCTTCGGCAAGGACGGAGTTGACCATGAAGGGTGTTAACTTGAACAGATTCAACTTCTTCTTCGACTGGTACCTGTAATACCCATCCCAAATAAATAGCATGTGGCTCTCCTGGTTCTATGGTATTTAACGTCCCCTCCACTCTAACGTCACAAGGAGGTGGCTTCAAGTGTCACGCACAGGTGAGATCAATCGTTTTAAAGCAAGAAAGTTCTACATGGTCCATGTCTGACTGGAAACAGCTTTCAGGACTCACAGGTACCAACCCAGGAGAGGGACATGCTCATGGCAGACACTGCTATTTATTCCACCATGAAGCTGGGCTCCAGGAGGTCCCGGAGGGACACTCAGAAAGCTCTACATCCAGGACAGCTGGGGCAAGTGTACCTCGGCCTAGTCTTCCTCACTCCCTTCCAAGGAAAGCCTAAAACTGATCAGGATTTGTGAGACTCTGACCTTTAAACAAGTCATTTTGACTTTCTGTGCCTCAGTTCCATGAGAACACCCCTCTCAGCCAGACAGCTTTCTATGCATACAGTATGTTGCTACGGGAGAAAAGTACAAATGGCTAAACCTGTATTTACATGTCCTGCCTATAGGTAGAGATAACCGCACTATGCTTTCTCAGGGTCACTGTGCTGTAAGCTCACATGTCACCGTCACGGGAAATACAGTAAGACCGCATCAACGGCGCCACTAGTGACAGCAGTACTCACTTCCGCCCTATGTGCCCGTAGGCCATGGAATGGAAGGTTTTGCAGATGACGTTGCTGGGGAAGACGCGTTCAGCCTGCTTTGCGATGCTCTTGTTGAATGTCACGTATAGAAACCTGCTCTGAGACCACTTCTCTGCATACTTGACCAGGGTTGAGGTCTTCCCAGTGCCTGGGGAAGCCAGGAGGAAAGGAGGTGACCCTCTGACCAGACAAGACATGCCCAGGGATCCCCCATCAGGCCTTCTCCAGGCTTATCATGCCTCTGTCTTGAGAGCAAGATAGTGACAGGCTTTTCAGTGCTGATAAAAGTTGTGCCACAAAAAAAGCGACAGATTTAAAGCCGGATGAAGGTGGGCTGCGATCTCAGCTCGGGTAGGCTCCAGCTGAGGAGCAAAGGACAGACGGACCCCCTTGACCTCATGGGCTTCAGTTTGCTTCTCAGAAATAAGTGGGTATTACTTAGAGGTAGGGTATCACTTAGAGGGCAAAATTTTCCGAGGGCAAAAATGACCCTCCGGGGCAGGAGGGGAGGGTTGGGGGGGGGAAAGGCATGTCTCCGCAAAGAGACAGGTCCAGCTTTGAATTCCACCTCTACCACGTATACACTTATTCAACCTGGGGCAAGGCTCTCTGTGCTTCAATTTCTTCATCTATAAAATAACTAAGCAACCTTATGGAATACTATTAGGATCAGCACCATGCCATGTACACTACAGACATTTAATATATTGTTGTTGTTGTTGTTGTTAGCAGGGTATTCAGCCACAAAAGGAGCTGGAAGAGATTATAGGTAGAAAAAAACAGCAAATAGCACGAGCAAAGGCTGTGACGAAAGAATAACCAAGTACTTTAGGAGGCTATAAGTAGATCGGCGTGGCTGACTGAGGCAGGATAATTGAAGATTTATGAATATAGGTTAAAATCAAATCTAAGGCAGGCCCTCTAGACATCACCCTACAAAACTGGGGATTAACAGGACTGGGCTGGGGATTAACAGGACCTCCCTCTCCAGAAGCAATCAGTGCCTGAGCACACATCACAATGCTGGGCTCAATCCCCGTGGCATCTACCCCACAAACAACTGAAGTGAACTATCCGTCTGAACAGGAATGCTACTGCGGATGTTCACTGGAGTGGTCTGGAGAAGCAAGTATTCCTTGGCCAATTGCTTTTGAGACTGACTATTTGATCTGTTATCGAATTATTAGTTGGATGACAGATCAGAGCAAAGATGCCCTGGTGGGTAGTGGGAAGGGGATACAGGGAGAAAAGGCAAAAAACAACGACATTGTGAACCTGATGTGAGCTCCCTTACCTGCAAAGGCCATAATTTTTACCACCTGGAGAGGTTCCATCTTATGATTCAGAATCAGCTGTTGCTCATGTGTAAGCTGGATGGTTTTCTTGCTGTAATCATTACAGAAGAGAAATGAGAAAAACAGAAAGACATGAAAAACCCAGGGGATACACTGTCCAGAAACCAAACAGACAAACTGGATAAACAAAAATTGACCAAAACAAGGCCTTTCCCTTAAAGGAATAAAAACGTTCTAAAGCTAGATTATGATGCTGACGCACGGCTCAGGCAATTTCCTGAAAATCACTGAACTACACTCTTACGACGGGTGAATTTTACACAATGCACATTATGCCTCAATGACGTTGCTAAAGTGAAACAAAACATCTCCCTCCCTAAGTATGGGGAAGAGTCAAGAACAGAAGACAAAACCCACACCGACTGACATATGCACATACCCTGGCCAGACAGATGGCTCCTCTTTAACTTCTGTAGCCTGAGTGCAGGAATTCTCCTGAAGATATAGGCAATAGAAAATGTTGTAGTGAATCCTAACAGAAAAAAAAGTAGATTTAGAAAGTTTCAAATTCAAGTCACAATCTGTATCTTATTTTTCCTCAGATGGATTTAAACTCCTCCCCATTTCTAAAAAGAAAATATCTACCATCATTTTATGGGGGAAAAAAAAAAAAAAGAAAGAAAAGGATTCAAATATATCTATGGCTGGCAAAATTATTCTCAGATAGCACAGTCCTGGGAAAGGTACAGTTTCTATGTACATCACCAAGAGGAGAAAGAGACCAGGACAAGCTCTTCAAAGAAGGAGAGCACCAGCTCTGACTTTAAGAGACAAATGACCAGAAAAGCTTTAAGGACCAGTGGACAGCAAAGGGAAACGCAGCTCCTAGCTATGAGATTCTTGTTTGAATGATACTTACTACACCTGCGGATAAAAATACCAGCCTCTTTCTGAGCCTTGGTGGCTTTTTATGACGTGACATTGCTTTATAAGCATAAACACATTCTGTCTTTTAAGGTCCCAAGAAAAGGGACTCCACTATGGATAACAAAATCTGATTATCAAGGACCAGAAAACAGCAGCCTCCAAGTCACCAAGAGGGACCAAAGATGACAAAGTTCAATCAGCACAGGACATTGTCAGACTCATCTGGCACATGCCATTCCAAAGCCTCTCCAAGTCTCCCCTCAACTGTGGGGGAGGCCAGGAGGTGAATCAATCCAAGCTCACCCCCTGGCCTCCCCCACAGTCAAGAGCACTGCTCCCCATCCCCAGAGCAAGAAAAGCCCATCTCGAAGCCTTGACCTTTTGAACGCAACAAATACCTTTAATAATCCAACATTTCTGATGTGATTCTATTATCTCCCAGGAAAAAAAAACAGGAAGAAATATAGAAACGCAACAAAAATCAACATACATACTGCCATGGACTGAATTGTGTCCCTTGAAATTCCTGTGTTGAAGCCCTAACTAGATCAGGAATCTCCTCTTTGTCACAGTGGGCCGGCTCGTGGACAACTATCAGACATGCAAATGCACACGACCCACCAAGCACTCCCCACCCTTCTGAGGGCCACCATCAGGGACCCTGTGAATCAGCAGCTCACACACGAATGCCTCCTCCACATGGAGGATAAGGTGGACGAGTCTTTTCCATCCCACAAATGGAAAACGTAGGAAGCAGAGCCTAACGTTATCCTAGGAGAGGATAACGGTGAATAGGGAGGGATTCTCTTAGCGAGGGGCTCCCCCTAAGGCTGCAGGATCCGTGATGGTAAAATCGGCCTTGGTGGCCCCGCACAGCCGCCCAGCACTACATGTTCATGAGGCACTCTCACCTTCCTTTCCACATCAAACTCATGAGGTGGAGAAGGGTGAGTTCCACGGCCTGCCGGGTGCTAACACTGCTAAGTGACAGAGCTGGATCTGCTGCCATGTCTGGACTCTCCCATTATCCCAGCAGCCCCTCCCTTCCTCCCATGGCATTACCTATTGCTGATGTTAATCCCCTTCTCCCTCATGGCGTAGAGAAGCACGGCTATGCAGTACAGGGTCTCGGTGACATCTGGCATGGTCACTGTGGAGCTGGGTCTCCGGAGACAGAAGAGCAGCCGCTGGATATCATTCACGCTGCTGGAGAGGAGCACCACGGCCGCCACCAGAGCCCAGACGTTGACACCCTGGGAGCCAGGTGCACAGGGAGGGAGGGACAGCCCAAACACAGGCCATGGTTAATACAAATCACAGCAGGAAGGAGCCAGGAAACCCAAGCCAGGGGTCCACCTGCTAGCTAGACTGTCTGGACTGAATCCAAACTCTAGGAAGTGGTATTTGGGAAACAGGGGAGTCCTTCCTTTTGCCCTGGACCCTTCTCGTCACTTTCAAATTGGAGATTTTAAATTAATTAACAGGATGAGTATCTAACATAGAACGTTGGATAGAGGGATAGTCTAAAAACATGAGCTCCCTGTCATCTTCCCACCCCACTCTCCAGGCCACCAGGGGTCTCTGGCCCACAAGTGCTTGGCAGAGCCAGGGCAAAACAGCCAGCAGAGGGCACCCACCCAAGAGGCACGAGAGATGCAGACACAGAAGGCCGCATGCAGGCTGTGGGGGAAATAAAGTCTGGCAATTCTCCAGCATTGCGGTACTAACTTGCTAGTTATTATTAGTAATAACTGTTCATGCTAAGTTAAATAAATACGAAATTATAGAAAGTTTATTTTGTGAAGACAGCATGTTCTAATTAGCAGTCTCCGTAAATGTTCACTTACACAGAAACAATCAATAGTGGACAGAGATCTTAATTTTCTTTTCTTTTTTTTTTTTTTTTTGAGACAAAGTCTCACTCTGTCACAAAGGCTGGAGTGCAGTGGCGCAATCTCAGCTCACTGCAACCTCTGCCTGACAGGTTCAAGCAATGTTCCTGTCTCAGCCTCCAGAGTAGCCAGGACTACAGGTACATGCCATCATGCTTGGCTAATTTTTGTCCTTTTAAGAGAGACAGCGTTTCACCGTGTTGGCCAGGCTGGTCTCGAACTCCTGACCTCAGGTGATCTGCCCACCTTGGCCTCCCAAAGTGCTGGGATAACAGTATGAGCCACCACACCTGGCCTGTACCATTCTTAAGTTACTACGCAGCTCTGTTAAAGAACGCATTCCAAGAAAGGAACGTCCCATCCCTTCTCACTACAACCATCCTGTGAAAGAAGACCCGCTCCACCACCATCGACAATCATCTTGTTCAACAGAAAGAGAGATGCAGTGGCCTGGGTTCCCAGCCTTCTGTGGCCAGCAGAACACAGGCAGAGGCTGCACGTAGCTTCGAAGATGAAATTGGGGAACCCCTGCACTGGATGAGGAGCACCGGCTCTAAGAGTCAAGGAGACTGAGGGTTGTTTCCAGCTTCTCATTACCTCACTGTGTGACTATAGCAGGACCCTGAATTTTTCTGTCCCTTTCAAATAAGCCAAGTTATCAATAATGGGGTGGGCTGTCTTGTAAAGAAACCCTATTATTAAAAGTGTTCAGAGGCCAGATGACCACTTTTGAGAAATATTTCAGAGAGGATTCCTCAACCAAATGGGAAATCAGACTAAATGTTTTTTTTTTAATTTCCTCTAAAACTAAGAATCTATAGTTTATGGCATTTTATAATTGAAACAATGACAACATGAATGTTTCAAAGCATTCAGAGATTAAATAAAGACATTAAAAACAAATGTAAAGTCATCCTCAATTGAACTGAATCACCAGTACACTTTCTTCCAGTGAAATAAGGTGCTGCCTTCTCCCACAGCCTCCAGACGTACCCCAGCAGCGGCGTAGAGGTCAGGGAGGTGTTGCCGCATGCATGCCCTGGCCTCGGGGAGGAGGGGATGGTCCCTCAGACTCCACAGCACCCTCTCAGGATCCACGCTTGGGGAGCATTTAGTGGTGGCTGCGTATCTGTAAGACATTCACAGGCGAGGCCATGAGCAGGGTGACCATAAGCACTGATGTACAGGGAAGAATTCAAAGACACCTTCCCTAGAGCAGAGACGAAGCTCACCGTATGAGGTTCAGCACACACAAGTCTGACTCTTTTTCTATGCCACAGTTAGACAGGATGCCATCCACTTTGCTGACAGCTTGCTCTTCATTCATCAGGTATCGATGGTACAGCTTCTTCCAAGGAATGAACTATGTAGTTAAAAACAAACAAAATAACACAAGACAGGAGCCCATTAGAAAGCAGATTAATGAGGTGGGCAAATCACTTGAGGTAAGGAGTTTGAGAACAGCCTGGCCAAGGTGGCAAAACTATCTCTACTGAAAAAAAAATACAAAAATTAGCCAGGCGTAGTGGCATACACCTGTAGTCCCAGCTACTCAGGAGGCTGAGGCAGGAGAATCACTTGCACCCAGGAGGCAGAGGTTGCAGTGAGCCGAGATCAAGCCACTGTACTCTGCCTAGGTGGCAGTGT